AGATACAATCATATTTACAATAATTAATATGAAATGTAAATAACTATATATACATATATCAATATCAATGAATTATATCAATAAACTGTCTGCATCATCATGGATACATTTACAGTTTATGATAAAGAGCCATTAAACAAAATCAATTAGCACGAATCCAATAATAAAAAAAAAAACACCCATATCAGCCAATATTACATCATAAAATCTCCAATTTTCCAAAGAAAACACCTTTAAAATAGAATAAACCAAAGAAATCTCTTTTATCTTTACGCTATTGTATGTTGATACAGCTTTGTAATTTGTAATATTGTATTAATTGATACTGAAGGAGCCTCATTATGATATCAGCAGAAATCATACCTACTTTTATTCCTTATTTTATGGTGTGGCTGTTAAAAAAGACTTGATCGAGTGATATTAATCAAACACAGCAGTAGTAAACAACAATGCGTATTTGAACAACTGACTCATTTATTATTATTGATCAGTGAATTACTTAAACTTAAAACAGAGGGGGATAGAAGTTAATTATTTTAGATGCAGGCCGGTGTATCCAGATATTCAGTTATTGGCTGATATCAATTCCATATTAAGAGATCTCTAATTCTAGCTTTAAGTTGTGTTTATTTAAATGTGTTCAGACATGGTAAACATTGAAAAAAAACACTAAAAGGAATAATATTCATGATCATTTGATGATTAAAAGCAACTTTACTTGCCTACTCACTATAGGATATTTTGTTTTTAAACATTTTTCTAACTAATGTTGAAAAATCATGTACACAGGTTGACCTCACTAACTAATGCGACGTTGCTTTATATTTATTCTTTCATTAGCTTTTATAAATATTTTACTCTCCCTGAAATTATAAGCACGTCTCTCTCTTTTTTATTAAACCTTAAATATAAATGGGAAACTTATTTTTTATGTAATACATACATTATGCAAAACTTTTAGATGAATAGACCATCTAAGCTGCAGAAGCAGCATTGTTTTGTCAATTTGAACTATAAACAACATAGAAAAAGTCTTCTAGATCAACAGTTTCACCTCCATTATTTCGCAGTTATTTCAAATTTAATTAAAAGCAAACTATCAATAGAAAAACATGTCCGGGTTTGATTTGCAGGTCTGTGTGAATGTTTTGATCATGATGCCAACCATAAACGGCATCATTTGGAAACTAGCATAGCTTTCCATCTGGGTTAGCCTCTCCTAGCAGCACAAACACCATCTTCCTCCATTTGGTCCTCCTCATCATCACCACCTCCTGTCTTTTCTACGTTCTTATCGGTTTCAACACGTTGCAGTTCAAACTGAAAAGGTTTAACGTTAGTCGTCGCTGTTTTTGCTGAGAGGAGCTAGCGCTACAGGACCTAGCATATAACATTTACCCTGCATGCATTGCAGCGTAAACGACAAGGCGACAATGTCCAAGGGACATTGATATTTTAATTTATAAAATCCAAACAGCTTACAGTAGTTTTACTGTATTGCTTTTACATGTAAAATAAATATTCCTCTAATAAAGTCTGTTTTTACAAGTAATCATGGATCCATTTAGGAGTAAAATAAATTGGTATAAAAGCTGTAGACCTCTCCAGACTTTTCTCCTTATTCTATTATCTAAAATCTATCCATCTGTGGACCCATCTGTCTGATTCTTCCAGTACTGGAACTTTCCCATTAAGATGTAGGAACCCTGCTTATAGATGTCAGACTTTAGATCAATTTCTCTCACATCTGTTGTTCTGCTGAGGACAGGACCTGCGTGAATAAACGGCTCTGAGGACCTACTCTCTGCACCGATGCACATTTATCTTTGATCGATCTGAGAAATTCACCAATGTAAAGACAAAGAACCAGTGTTTCCATTCTGACCACCTCCCACTGCCGTCATTTAATTAAACCACTGCTGTCTGGATGTGTTTCCTTTGCCTCAGTCCGCTCATTTGGTACTGAGGATCGCCCGACGGACAGACCCATTCCCCCCCGAGACGACGTCTTTGAGTACATCATCTTCAGGGGCAGCGACATCAAGGACTTGACGGTTTGTGAGCCGCCCAAACCACCATGCTCTCTTCCCCAGGACCCCGCCATCGTCCAGGTAAGCTGCTCTCAATTCTTGCTGCTGAGAGAGAAGTCGGTTCAGGTCCGAGGTTTAGTCCCTGTTCTTAGAATGACATTTCTGTCAGGGTCAGCCTGTCAGCTGTGGTTAACCTCCAGAAGAGCTGCAGGCTGCTGTGGGCTGCCGTGCTGATGGCTGTGGAGGCTCTCTGTGGGATTTAGATCTGGGGTCTGCAGCCTTTTAACTCCAATGAGCCAATTTCCCCCCATGTAGGGCTGACTAAAGGTTTAGAGATGCAAATAGTTTATAACATTTAAAAAAACACTTCTTACCATTTCTTTGAAGTATCTGATAAAGAAATTGTTGCTTTTTCAAACAGCCAACAGTTTATTTGTATTTTTAGCTTTTAAAAAAAGGACATAAAACGTTTCATAGAGATAAAGCGTGGATTTTCTTACATTAGATATTATTTGATGTAACATAGCAATACCTTGGGGGCGAAATTAAAGCTATGTAGCTTTAATTTCAACCGTCTACGTCGGGGGGGTGACCTTTATTTAAAGGGCAACAAAGTTCAAACTGTGAAGAAGCTGTAAAACAACAAACAAAACAACCTAAATGTTCAGTTGGTGGGAGCACACAGTGAGCCAGTTTATCGGTTATAAGAACACATCCCCCTGATTTTCCAAAAGTTAAATCTGCATTAGCAGTAAACTTGATGAATCACACAAACTTGGTTACAGATCGGGGGTCTTTGTTCCATCAGTACCAACGGGGCCGAGCTCCACTCATTGTTTGGGTTTTTCCATCGATAACTATGACATGGACTCGACATTAACAACAAAATATTAAGTGATCTTGAAACACTCAGGAGAAAATACTCTTTGGACAGTTAACCAATATTTACAAATAAGAAATTTAGTTAATTTAAAAAATAGGCCGATTACTGACAAAAATATAAACCTAATGGACATTTTTATTAATGCCTATATATCAAAAATTAAAGGGAAAATTGTTTCACTTATCTATAAAAAAAAAACAATGGATCTCAGAAACAATTCAACCCTACATACCAAAGCAAGATGGGAAAGAGAGGGCAATTTGACAAAAACAGAGAAATATCATTGGACGTATAATAAATCTCTACAATGGTAAGAATTTGAATGGAAAAATCTGTTGTTGTTTTTTTTATCACACCTGCTCAAAAATGCCACTACGATAGAAATCTCCCCACATGTTGGAGGAAAAATAGAAATCAAAATGCAAACCATTATCATGTCTTCTGAGACCGCCCAATTATAAAAGATTACTGGAAATAGATAAATAATGCCGTAAAAGATATTTTTAATCAGAACATTCCTTTAGAGATCAAGCTTAGGTATATTTTGGTATAGTTCCTCAAGAAGCCTCAAAAAAATATATATATTAATGACTATTTTATTAACAGCAAGTAAGAAAAATATTACAAGAAATTTTTTATAATAAAAACCAACTTTAGCCAACTTGATTGACATAACATTTAACATATATAAAATGAAAAAAATAACCGCCTATCTCAATCACAACACTGAACAATTCTGTCAATGGTGGCAGATTTGGGTAAACTATGTAAAACTGAATTCAATTCAGTTCCGTTTATTTCTATAGCGCCATAGAGTGAGCCGCTGCATAGATAGAACTCCAAACAAATGACTCTTTATTGGGGATGTTTCCCTCAGAAAACAGCCTAAACCCGATGATGGGCGTCTCTAGGGTAACCCACAGGAAGTATTTAATTACATGTTATTTTAAGAAATGATTACGTTGAACAAAAGTTTAGATTCACGTCTGACTTTGGCGTTTGGCATATTTTTGACGGTCTGAGCCTGTTCGGTGGGAACACCACATAAACAATCAGCCAGAGACTCTTAAAGTAAGCAGCGCAATGCCGGTCACGTTTAAAATTAAAGTAAATTAACATGAATAAAGTTCCAACAAGGAACCAACAAACGGTTCACCTCAGGGCCAAATGATTTAAACCGTCGTATTTTGCTCCACGTCAATCACTGCTTCAAATGATTCAGTTTTCTTTTACCTTATTTCGGGGGGGGGGTGTCACTCAGCATTTAGCATCTTGTCTGTTTGCTGAACAAGGAGCTTTCTTGAAGACTATATACCCTCTATCTGGCTACATCAGTTAAATCGGAACATTTGCTGGAGGCAAAACAACCTGACATCCAGAGGCTACAAACCAGCACAGGGAGCTTAGGTTAGCATGTTGTTATGTTGTATGCATATTCAGATAAAATCAGTTTTTCTACAGCTGTAGTTTATAATGCAGTGTTCTGTAACAAAACTAGCTAGATACAACGTTAAAGCGCTCAGGGAGGAATCATTCTGGTTATGTTTATACTGCAGGCCTTGATGCTCAATTCCCATATTTTTGTGAAATCCGAATTTTTTTGCGTTCACATTTCCAAATATATGTGACTTGTATGTGATCTGCTGTGTGAACTGCGGTCATATAACGTAAGTGTCCCGCATGCGCAGTAGAGGACGCAATGATGGCACAATCTTTTCAAGATGGTTAAACATAAATACTGCTCTCCGCATCATCTTGCTGCTTCTACATAGCAAGACGCATAATAGTGACCTTTGTCGGGTATTAATGGCGTTCAGGTCGGATGAATGCAGCCTGGCCGTTCAGACGCAGGTCACACTTGAAAAGATCAGATTCTTAGCGGATTCAGGACCAGATAGCCAAGCGGCCTGGGCCTCATGGGAATAAATTTGATCTGTGTTGTTCAGACTGTCATGAAAAGATGAGATTCAGGTCGCATGTGGGCACAAAAAGTCGGATTTGGGTCACTTCAGGCTGAGTGAACGTAGCCTCTGTCTCCAAATGAAGTGGATATTAAGAGGTTAAAGTTTTATTTCAAGGGGAAAAAAATTAGTCTTGAATTTAACCTGGCTTATGTAGTAGGATCCCTGACTAGAACCAGATTCACTTGTTTAGAAGAGGTTTATAAACCAAAACAGCAAATGATGTTCAGAAGCAACTTTTCAGTGAAATGATGGATTTATATATTTTTATTAAGATTCATCCTCATCAGGGTTCCTGTTTTCTCTGAATCTAAATAAAAACGATCAAGATGTTTTTTGTTTTTTATCCTAAATTATGTCACAAGAGCAGCATCTGTCATTGTCTATATATTCTACTTCTATGATGGACCTGGTTCCTGTGTCCTAAAAGGAAAACATGAAAGGTTCTGTTTTTTCTTCCAGTCCTCCATCAGCACCAGCTCGTCCTCGGCGGCGGCCTCGGCTCCTACTCCGTTCCAGTCCTCTGGTTCCTACGGCCTTTTCAGCAGAGCTCAGGTTCCTGCTTACAACCAGTTCGGCACCAGCCCGCTGGTCTCGCCCCAGTTTGGACCCGTTGGTGTTGGTAGGTGGGGCAGTGGGTCAGGAATGGGTATCGGGTCAGGTTGATATCCATGCAGGTTCTTCACCAGGTCCTCATGACACAGGATGTGGGGAGGTTTCGGGTCGAGGCCTTCGCCGTCTCTTTGACACATTTTGTGCTCGGTTGGTTCTGTGAGAGCAGGCGGGTCGGTATTGGACCGTACAGATGAAACCAGTTCTAGTTTATGTTCAAATGAAAAGTTCCAGGACCGTTTGGTTTTTCTTTTCTAGTTTTTTATTTTTATTGTTTTTGCCTGATCATCTTTTGTTGGTGCACCCCCTGGTGGAATGGACCAGGACTGACCTGAGTGGATGGGTTCTGTTTAGGGTTGCCAACTCCCTGGAAAAAAAAAAAAAAAAAGCACACCTTATTAGCGCGCAATCTGACCAGATTGCCTTTACCCCTCCAGGCGTGGTGATTTTTTTTTTTTTTAACCCCCTTTTGTGTGTGAAATGATTTTTTTCTTTTACTATTTGAATCAAATCTGCATTGAATTAGATGCATATTTGCGGTGTGATTTATATTGGCACTGACTTCTTCCACCCAGGTATTTGTTTTTTCCCATTCCTCCCTATATTTCTGCATCTTTTTTTTGTTTGTTTGTTTTTGGGAGGAGGAGCATCGCTATTCGCAGGTGCACTGACCCCAAAAGCAGCGTCAACATTTAAATGAATCTGTTCGTCCCCCATCCTGCTCTGTTGTCTCCCGCTATCTTCTCCATGAGCAACACTTGGCTCGACCAATAGGATGAGGGGATTCTGGATCATTACAGATATGTTGTCAGCTCATTGGTCACAATGCAGGACAGGACCCAGGAAGAAGTTTACCGTAGGTTTTGTATCAAACGTGCCGTTGTTCTTCATTTTCCATTAGCTTATTACTGACTATGTTTTTTTCTCTCACAGTAAAACGAGACAAAATGCGTTCCTTTTCCACTAAATACGGGACAGGTACTTCTATTTCTAAATACAGAAAAATTCAGTTTTTCAAGGGACGGTTGGCAACTCTAGTTCTGTTCATCTGCAGATTTAGAACATCAGGTTCATCTTAGACGCTAACGCTACCAAAACTAAAACCCTTGATTTAGTTGTGGCAGCGACTCTGTTTGGGTTAGATATTGTTCTGCTCAGGGTTTTCTCCCAGGGGGTTCTGGTATCGGTACCGCCCAGCAAGTTCTGGGTGTTCTGGTGTCAGTTCAGCCCAGCGGTTTCTGCAGAACGTCCCGGTCTCAGTTCTATTCTCCCACACAGGGCGCTCCTCTGCCTCCTTCGTGAACTCTGGTCTGAGTGGTTCTGAGTCGCGTTCTGTGGGGACTTTGACTGAAGGTAACGAAGAGCAGGAAGTGGACCTGCGGTTCCTCCTCGCCTTTTTTTCCTGTCCTGCTTCTTTTCTGTCGGTGTTGACCCACAAACACTCCGAGGGTTTCTAGCTGTCTGACTTCCTGCCTCCGGCTCCGCTGGCCTCTGTAATCTAACCCGTCCGGTCAGATCGGTTCTGCTGCAGACCCTCTGGAGCCCAGAGCTTCATCCCTGCTCAGTCGCTCTGCTTCACCGTTTCCTTTCTGTCCAAAATAAAAAGATTCAGGGATGGATAACGTTAAGGATTTAACAATACTCTGACTTATTAAAAGGGTAAAAAATAAAGGAACAGGAATGGTTTATTTGTTCACATTTGTAGGAAAATTAACACGCAAAGTAAATTAGGGGTACAAATTAGAAGCTTTTTGTATGATTAAAGCTTTAAGTGATAGAATCAGTACAAATGAGTTTATATTTAAACACCATCTGTAATAAAACACTTTATATGCAATTATAGAAGCACCGATCCAATATTAATCTCTGAAACTTTTGCAGAAAAGGTTAGATCAGCTATTGATTTAGATTTGTTGAGTCTGTTTCTATAATTAGTTGTGTTAAAAATCTTTTGAAAAACAGGAAAGTTGCTATTCTATGGAAATCAGTCTTTGATTTATTAAATCCAGTCAATTTGAATCTTTAGAGCTGATATTCGTTTTCAGGCTGAAATCTGTCCTGTTAACATGATTTACTGTTTATAAATTCCTGTTCTAAACTCATGCTAATCTTTAGGAATAAACATGTTTACATTCAAACATACCTGCATGTAGAGAGGAGTTTATTACAGCCTCTTAAATCACAGTTATAATGAGAACATCAAAGCAAAAAAAAGATCTGGTATTAAAAAAAAATAGTCTGCAGGATCCAAATCTTAGGATCAGAATCGGAGCAGAGGTGAAAATTTGGATTGTTGCATCACTCTTAAAAAAAACAGTATGCTTTACTGAAAAACTATAAAGTAATTTGAAGTATTCAACCCAAACTACAAACTGATGTTTTGTTATGTAATCAGATTTAACCAATAGAAGTAGACGAATCAGTTATAGTTAGGATCTGATGAGAGTGGGAGCAGAACCTTAGCCCCTCCCATGATTCTTATGAAGGAGGAGATTAGATTAGGAGGTTGGCTTCTTCTGCAGCTTAATGTCAGAGTTGTGCTGCAAACCAGAACCTTCAGAGGATCTGGACTCGTTCTGCTCCTGCTGCTTTATTTCCAACAGCTTCTTTTGGTTCTGGTTCCGATGGAATCGGTTAAACTCATCAGATTAGACGTGGGCTTCCTGAGCCATCATCCAGTTTCAATCTGGGTCTGGAGCAGAATTAAAACAGTAATGATTTGGTGGAAGCAGTGGATTCCCAGCAGACCCTGAAGGCAGCGGCCGGGGTTCGGCTTTAGAAGTATGAAGCAGCGGTTCTTGGTTCTCTGTCCCTTTGGGGTCCAGTCACTGGGTTTCTGGATCACTGTGGTTTGGTTCCATCTGGGTCCGGTGACTGTCTTTAACCCTGTTCTCTGTGCTGCTTCTCCTCAGGCTGCGGCAGTCCTGGTCTGGAAGCTCTCAGAAAGAGTCCCACCCTGGACCAGGCGATCCAAAGCGGCCCAGCGGCCCCGGCATCAAGCACCACGGCTCCAGCGCCCGGTCTGGGACGTAGGAGTCCAGTTCATGGTGGTCCCACTTCCGCAGCCCAGAGCAGCCAGAAGGTTCAGCAGCTGGATAGAGGAGACCACATGAAGGGTGAGAACCTTCCCCCTCTCATCCACTGATGGACCATCACCTACCGGGTCTGGGTCCATCTCTGGGCTCATGTGCTGACAGAACATCGGTTCATGAGTTCAACGAAACAGAAAATTTAAAAAGCTTAACTAGAAGCTCCTTATCTGGTCCAGATGGAGAAAATCCCTCCTAATCCAGAATTTGTTTTAAGAAACATTCAATTAAAGGAATAGTACACCCAAAACATGATTAGCCTTCATTTTCTACTCACCCCCATGCTGAACAACACTCTGGAGTACTTTTTTGATATCTCAAATGCATCTGGAGATCTGGGAGGCTTCTTGCTGTCTGCTGACATTCAAATAATGGAGGTCTATGGCGCCCGAGACAGAAAGGTCCATAAAAGTCCACAAAAAACGTGTCAATATTCCTCCATACTGCTCGTCCAATGTATTCCAAGTGTCCTGAGTGGGTAGCGTCCAGAATTTACTCGAAACGAAGTCATTTAGAATGTTTTTAGAGCATAAACAGTAGTGTATAGGATTTCCTAAAAGCGCGTTCACGAGTCTACGGAAACCGCGGCAGACCAAACCAGATGAAAGTGCGCATTCAGCTCGGCAAAGAACTCATGCTCTTCCTCAACACTGAAGTCCTCAGACATTTTTCTTTCGTTGTTTCTTTCTTTGCACAGGTAAACAGCACATTTCTTCTTCTACGCTTGCATTATCGGCAGAGCAGACGCTGAATGCGCACTTTCATCTGGTTTGGTCTGCCGCGGTTTCCGTAGACTCGTGAACGCGCTTTTAGGAAATCCTATACACTACTGTTTATGCTCTAAAAACATTCTAAATGACTTTGTTTCGAGTAAATTCTGGATGCTACCCACTCAGGACACTTGGAATACATTGGACGAGCAGTATGGAGGAATATTGACACGTTTTTTGGGGACTTTTATGGACCTTTCTGCCTCGGGCGCCATAGACCTCCATTATTTGAATGTCAGCAGACAGCAAGAAGCCTCCCAGATCTCCAGATGCATTTGAGATATCAAAAAAGTACTCCAGAGTGTTGTTCAGCATGGGGGTGAGTAGAAAATGAAGGCTAATCATGTTTTGGGTGTACTATTCCTTTAAAGTTCCTCTGCAGGTTGACATAGTTACAGTATCTAGAAGATATCAGTCTATGCTGTAGATTTTTTTTTTTTTAGCAGTGCATGTTCCACACATGATGGACCTGAAGGTCAATCAAAGCTTATCTGTTATAAGCTAAAAATTCCTCTGGATACAAGAGAAAAGTGCAGATTACCAATGAACCATTACTAAATCAATAAGATCAGTCAACTCTTCATGCTAACTTTTGTTAGCATTAGCCGCCTGGCTGGCAAACCACTGATCTCTATTTATTTACTGATTGCATGAAAAAAGTGAAGCCACCGGCCGCCATGTTGGTACTCCCCACTCCCACGGAGATGCGCAGTAAAAATGCCTACTCGTGTAGAGTTTGACTGCAAAAATAAGCAGTTTGCCGGCTGTGGGAAGATGTTCCACAGGTAATTTCCCAGTCATTGGATGTACTTACCAAGAAAATCCATATATACGCCACACCGATGTATCCCATAGTATAGTAGGTAGCGTAACAATAGTCTGGCTATCTCAGAATGACTCGAAGATATTCACTGAGTTGGTCATTGACATTGTTTCTAACATTAGAAAATGGAAAGTAGAGTAAAAAGAAAGTATTTCACTGTAAAATATCAATGTATTAATTCTTCATTAAGTGGATTATGCCGTTGCTTTTGTAATGTTGTGTATATGAGCTGCGACACATGAAACAAGATGCTGTGACTGAAAAAATGTGATTGACAGATGACCATCTATATATGAAGTAGGTGTACAAGCTGACTTATAATTAACTGACCTGTATAAGATAACAAAAAAAAACAGTCAGGACAATATCATCTGATAAAGAGTATATTTATATATTTATATACATGTTTAAGCCAGAATGATTTGACATTTAAACATGATTTCCCTATGACTTTAAATCAGTGTAACTGAGGTTCTAGAGATGTTCTATAGCCTGTCTATTTAATTTGGACAGAAACTTATTTCAACAGAAGAAAACTTTTGACCAAAGCTGTAAAGAGAGAAAGCAGAGAAGGTGTTGAGTCTAGGGCTGCAACTAACGATTATTTTAAAAATCGATGAATCGGACGATTATTTTTTCGATTAATCGATGAATCGGACAAAAAATATTCTTTATATTAACCTCTTTATTCCAAAATAAACATTTTAGACAGAACAAACAAGCACACAAGTACAGGTTGCTCATTAACTGT